GAAGCCTGATTGGAAGGGTTCGTAGAGCTCATGGTCGGACATATGATGGTGGAGTTGGGCAGCAACTGCTCTTTCCATGATCTTGCTAAGAAAAGGAAGGTTGGAGATCGGCCGGAAGTTGCTGGGGTCCTCAGGGTCGAGACCAGGTTTTTTGACGATGGGGGGTGACAGCTGCTATCTTGAGGACGGCGGGAACCTTGCCTGATTCCAGGGAGGAGTTGATAATTTTAACAATGGTGGAGCAGAGGATGGGTAGGCAAGTGTTGACCAGGGCAGAGGGCATGGGGTCGAGGGAGCAGGTTGTAGCCTTAGCTTTTGAGACAAGTTTGGTAACCTGTGTGACATCCACTGGTGCAAAGGAGGAGAGACAACATTGAGGCAGATGTTGAATTGAACGAACAGTGACTGGAGGTGGTGTGGCATGTAGATGGGATGGGGCAGAGGCCTGGAGTTCCTGGTGGATGGAGTTGACTTTGTCCTCAAAGAAGTCAAGGACCCTGGTGCAAAGCTCGGGGGCGTCTGCTGGGTTGGGGGGGTCAATTGGGTGGAGTAGGCGGTTTATGGTGGAGAAGAGCATACGGGGGTGGTGTTGCTGGTTACCGATGAGTGAGGAGTAGTAGTGTGCCTTAGCTTTTGAGAGGGCGTCCTTGTAAGATTTGACATGCTCTCTATACGCCTCCAGATGGACGGTGAGGCCAGATTTTTTGTGGATCCGCTCCAGTTGGCGGCCAGAGGCTTTCATGGCACGGAGACTGGTGGTGAACCAGGGGGCTGAGTGGGTGAAGGAGACAGTGCGAGTAATGAGGGGGGCAAGTGAGTCGAGACTCAGGGAAAGAGCAGTGTTTTACTGGGCTACCAGTCCGTCAACCGAGGTGTCAGGGGGATCGGAGGCCAGGTGGCTAGCTATGAGGCTGGTTATGGCTGGTGCGCTCACTGATTTTAAGCTCCTGTAGGTAATTGTCCGCAGTACAAGCTGTCTGGGGAGGGCGATAGGCACAGTGAACAGGATGGCATGATGGTCGGAGACAGCCAGGTTGAGGCACTGCAGGTGGGATGCAGTTGTGCCAGTGGTACATACCAAATCCAGGGTGTGGCCTTTGGCATGGGTGGGATCATGGACATGCTGTTCAAAATTGAAGCAGTCCAGAAGTGCCAGGAAGTCAGAGGCAAATGTGCAACAGGGTGAGTCCACATGAATGTTAAAGTCTCCAAGAAGGAGCGTAGATTGGGACATGGAGCAAATTGAGGTGAGTAGCTCAGATAGTTCCGACAGGAAGATGGCGGAGGCTGAGGCTTTGGGGGGGCGATATATAAGAACAGCCTGGAGCTGTGCAGATCCAGATAGAGTGAAGGCAAGACATTCAAGTGAGGTGGTGTTGGGTACAGGAAGCTCTTTGATCGAGATGTCTGCCCTGTATATTACAGCCAGCCCACTGCCCTGACCAGTGGAGCGGGGCTTTTGGAGGTAGACATAGCCAGGAGGTGTGGCTTGGTTGAGTAATAGGAAATCCTGTCCAGTTTATCATGTTTCGGTTAAGCAGAGGAAATGAAGTTTATGATCAGTGATAATGTCATTGATCAGAGGTGCTTTTTTGTTCAGTGATCGAACATTCTGCAGCATGAATGTTGCATTGTTGTTTGTAGTTGTTGAGGCAGAGGGGGTGAATGGGCTGATGACGTCGATACAGCTGAGAGGTCTCAGATTACAGCTATGCACGTAGGGTGTGCTCTGATGATGAAGTGCGACGGACCGCCTGTCTGTCTGTGTGGTGGGGATGTCATGGGCTGCTTCTCAGGTCGACTATTTTCATTTCCTCGCTCCTCGGTCCTCGGTCTCACCAGAAGTTGATTTGCCTGCGCCATCTTGAGTACCGTCCCATGGCTCTTATTTCTGCCGGAGGACCGAGGATCGAGGAGCGAGGAGCGATGATGGAGGAGCGATAACCGAGGAACCACCAGACCATCCTCCGATGAAATCCTCAGATACTCACCCCGCCCCCTTACTGAGTATCGCTCACTGATTGGACGAGGCAGTGCATGCACTGATCTGATGCTTCTTGACATGAGAGCAATACCCCAGCGGAGTGAAGAAAATACATGAACCTCACGGGACTCACTCCTCAGTTTATACCGTGTTTTGTTTCAATTAATGTATCATTTAGTTACAAATATGTGATCTGAACAAAAGTGGTCAAAAATCATTATTGGAAACATTTTCATGATCGATTTTTTCGTTTTACAGTTTCATTTATTGTCATTTCCATTCAATCACAGCTGAGGCATGAATCCTTGATTTCACTCGGTTTAAAAGCCCTGCCTCCAGCATGCAGCTGGCACATTTGAAAGACATGGCGGCAGAAAAACTACACAAGTGTAAGTACCTATTACTTCATGTTATTTGTATGCCTACAACGATACCGTTACGATAATGCAACATCTGTTCACATGTATTTAACCCACAACTCATATATTTCTGTTATTGAACGCTTTATATTTTCTCAACAATGTTCATGTGAAATGCCAAGGCAAGATTTGCAATAGGCTACATAACGTGCGTATACACACGCAGCATTCGTTATTTATCGGACATATTTAGGTTGGAAACCACTTGTTTCTTCATTTAACTAGGCTACCTGCCACATACAGACGTAACTAAGGTACCATCATTCATTTGGCTGGCAGTCACAATGTATTTGTAATACATAATTCAATACATTCAAATCGGCTCAATTCAATAATTAAGCTGTCATTTATATGCAGCATTATGTGAGTGAAATGTTAATGGCTTAAGGTTTCCTTTTGCTGATGTATGTATAACATAATTCTCCTTAAACAGGGACGGAGGCCCACACCAGAGCCCTCATTCTACAGAGGACTGACAATGAGCACCTGTTTACAGGAAAGAGGTTCACAGCCAAGAAGGCCTGGGGGTGAGCTACAGTCCTACATGAGTTGTTTGACAATGTTGTTTTGGTGCATGGTATGATAATCAATGTAACCACTACTGTGAATGAACCACAGTGAACCTGAGTGTGTCATGGAATTATTATGCATGAAGCATATTGTCAGAAGTAATCAGACTTTGCATGCCTGGATGCTATAATTTAAGAAATGGTTTACTCCACAGATGCCCCTTTCACACCAGTGCTTTTTCAGCTCCGGCTCGGAGCTGGAGCCTGAAAAGCGCCGGTTTTTCCTGTTCACACCGCAGTGGCGCCGGCTCTTAGCTCCGGAATCCGGTTCACTTCCAGCTCCAAAAAATTGTCGGTCTAGAGGCAAGAGCTTCGGAGCTAAGAGGTGGCGTCGCTTACGTCTCTCTTACGTCAGGCGTGCAGGAAACTAAACCCACCTCCCCTGAACATGGGTCGACTGTCATGCCTGCCTACAAGCAGTAGTGCTTATAAACACACTTTATAAAGTCAGGCAACACTAACCAGGCTTCGTGTGATTCTGTTTATTTGTACCTTACTTTGACCATCCGTTCATTGTTATTGATCATTGTGGAGAGAGGCAGACGTTTTGTTTTGTATTATAGCAGCTATCGGATGGAATCAATACATGGGCTGCACAGGTTGTCGTGTCCGACTATCACAAGTAGAATCATAATAAAAATACGCCGGTAAAATGTGCCTGTAGAAAACGGTTTATGCCACAATAGGATAGCAATAGCAAGTAGTCAGTTTAGCTTCGGTTGCTATGCTAACATCACCCATTTTATACCAGAGAAACTTTCATAACAGCGTTGTGATACCAAACAGCGTCAATTCAGACTGACACACATTCACTTAGGCTAAGGGGAACTGGGGATATGTATCAGCTGCTTGTGTGAGTCGGACAGTGAATACTTTAGAGCGGCCGCAGCAGTGTGAGCTAACCGGGAGCTAACGGGAGAATAAACTCCCGTGGAAGAGCAGCCAACACTGCTGCGGTCGGTAAATGCTGCAGAAACACATTAATAAACAATGAACCACGGCACTCTGGAGCAAAGTATAAGGTTGGAGAAGTCGTTATTTAATTTATTCTGGCTTCGTGTGATTAAAAGCAACACGATCATCGACCCGACGCAGTTCCCCGTTGTTGTTGTGAGCGCCGTAATGCCGTTGGGGAGCAAATCAGCAATGTAAACGGTGACGTCATGACGCAGCAGCGGCAGCACCAGTCGGGTGCTGGGCGGTGTGAACAGAGCGGGAGCAGAAAAGGGAAACCGGAGCTGAACCAGAAAAGCTCTAGCTCGGAGCTAGAAAGGGAAAAGCGCTGGTGTGAAAGCCGCAAGAGAGGTTCTGCAGAAGATGGAGTTGGAGGAGTTGCTCACTCCCACCCAACTGGCAAAAAAGTGAGACAACCTGAAAAGAAAATATAAGGTGAGATATTGTATTTCTAGATGCATACAATGCAGCTATTTCTATTGTGTCTTCATCTGACTCATAGATTCCTTGTTCTCCCTCAGGAGCTGAAAACCCCCCCTACAGGGACGGGGACAGATGCGGGGGAGGCCACGGCAGCCACATGGTCGTGGTTTTCCCTGATGCATGAAGCCATTGGGAGTCGGCCCTCCATGGAGCCTCCAGTCCTGATGGACTCGGCTGATGTGACCCCCAGTGGGATTGGCTCTTCATCCAGTGGAGCTGGGGCTGCTCCTTGTGGCCAGGCAATGGAGGAAGAGGAGGATCCTGGGCAGCCTGGCACAAGTAGCAGCACCACTACACTGGATGAAGAGCCATCCACCTCTCTCAGTCCCCCGCCTGCCAAGAAGAAGAGGGCAAGTAGGGGGGCCTTATTAGAGTTTTTCAAAGAGGAGGCCCAACGAGAGCAGGAACGCTTTGAGGCCAATCAGGCTAACACAAAAATATTTTTGGATTTATTTGAGAAATTGGTAAATAAAGGATTTTGTTTCTAAGTTTTTGCAACATTGTTATTGTTCCATTGAGATACACTTTGTTTGTCAAAACATTGTTCCTTTATTTGTTAAATTATAAACATCACAATGCAATAAACCGCAAATGAAGGCACACAGCTTTTCACACAGTGTGGTGTCCAAGGCCTTCGTGTCCCCAAGTCCTACAAATAATCATGTTCTTGTAGTTCAACTGGTTGCACACATGGAGCAGAGAGCAGCCCTGCCAGTCGGTCTCGCTGGCCATGTCCGCCTCGATCCCCCCTCACCAGACGTGGTGGAACCACACCAATGTCCCCAACATCCTCTTCAGGCTCCAGGATGTCCCCCGCTGTGAGACAGATGTTATGGAGTACTGCACAGGCGGTGATGACTGAGGGGACAAAGGTGTGGTGGACCTCCAGAGCCTTGAAGAACAGCGATCTCCACCTGCTTTTCATCCTGCCAAAGGCCCGCTCTATGATGGAGCGAGCCCTGGCATGATGCTGGTTGAAGCGGCTCTGCACCCTCCCTTGCAGTGGTTCTCTATATGGGGTGATGAGGGCCACAGGTCCTTCTATGCAGGGGTAGCCACCATCACCCAAAAGGAAGAATCCTAAAAAGAGAGAGAACATATTTAGTATACTAAAAGTCATTGATGGATTTTGATGTATAAACAAGAATATTTGGTGTCACCTGAGGGAGGATACAGAGCCTGTTTGTAAATTGCGCTGTTCTTCAGGACTCTGGTGTCATGGACTGAACCAGGATCCCCAACAAAGGTGTTGAGAAAGAAGCCCTTCCCATCACACACTGCCTGCAATTGTATGGATGGGAAGAGCTTTCTGTTGAGGTAATCCTGGCCCAGAGGTCCTGGGGGGGGTCTTTATGCGGACATGGCAGCCATCAATGGCCCCCACACACCTGGAGAATACTGGGCTGTTGGCCAGCCTTGCAAACTCTTGGCCAACCTCCTCCAGTTCTCCAGGGGGGGGCAGTTTGATGACCTCCTGGCGAAGGGCTGCAATTTGTTGTACTCCAGTGTGCACCAGTCTGCAGACGGTGGACTTGGGGACATCAAAGGCCCGGGACACCACACTGTATGACAAGCCGTGTGCCAACCAATAAAGGGTAATTAAAATATTCACCTCATGTGACCAGCCTTGTGTGTTCTTTGATGGCAGGATCCTCAGCAGGAGACTGGCGCCCCAGTCTGTAGTCCTGCATGAGGTCCTTCTGGCCATCAAAGAACGCCGCAAGGACTGGCACATGAGGGTTTAAAATAGCTATGGGATCGACATCCGTCTGCAAAATAAAGATACATGTTACCTTCAGCACCTAGCTTTTATTAAACTGACAATTAATTGATCTTACATGAAATTGCTGTTGTTGGTGAAACCATTCATACTGCAACAGACTAGTGATGCTTACCTCCATGAAACCAATAGCCTGTTGTAGTCGTGCCCGACGGCACCTGGACTGCTCCTGCTCTTGCAAGAGCGCATTATATACATCAAGGTCTACTGCAATGCACGCCATGGTATCAGACATGTTGTGTTTGGAAAGGTTAAACCTCTTTCTATCCAACATGTATATTGGAACCTTCTTCCTAAATGACCTTAATGGGTTTCAGCTTGTAGTTTTTCACTGACCTGCTTAGCTTTTAATTCAGCTGCCAAACCGCAGTCATTAAGTCCTATTTAAAATGTTAATTTGCTCCACACAAACAAACAAAGTGTGCAGTCCAATGAATGTTAATCTAACTGGGTTTTGTTAACATATCTGTTTTTGTTCTCTGAATAATTGTATTCCTATTGTGCACTCTAATTAATATTAATCAAACTATTATTCGTTTAAGGGTTAGAGAGAGAGAGAAACAGCACAGAAAACACGATTTTTTTGGCTACGAAGTGAAGCGGCGACAAACACGCCTGCGTCCTCACTCACGCAACTCGTCAATGCCATCATTGGGCTTATGAAATATTCCTTTTCTTTTATTCCAGGTTAGGGGAATATTTTACCATTCTATGGCCATACATGACGTGCGATTCATGCACACATATGGAGAGGAAAAGAAACATCTTACATGCTGTTCATCTGTGTTTTTAAACAAGAAACCAGGCTCCTATGCTTCCACTTTATTACGTTATAGTGGAGCTGCAGTACTACGGTGAGAAAGGCATTAAGCTTATTGTCCATGTGCTATGTACAGTGTTGTGCTAGTTACTGAAAACCAGTAACTAGTTACCATTACTAGTTACTTAATGCAAAAAGTAACTCAGTTACTTTACAAGTTACTTAAAAAAAAGTATTGCGTTACTGTGAAAAGTAACGTTTCCGTTACTTACAGAAAATGTCTCCCATTAATGCCCTTATAGCCTTCCTTTCAGTACTGTTATTGCATTGGAGAATAATACAATCTGTTGATCAACTTGACATGCATTATATGCAATCTGGATTGCATCAATATTAGCTGGCTTTCCATTTTTGTATATTCTTTCTCCAGGTAGTTGGAAAAAGTTTTCCGTCCCATATGCCGTGTGCCGCCCGGACATGCTATCATGCTAACTAGCTCCCTGAAAGCGGGTGACTCCACTGTAGCAATAGCCTGCATGTGTTCTACAACATACCGTGCAATGGCTTTATCGACTTTTCCCTGGCTAGCAGTCCCTTGGTTAAAATCCAGCCGCTGTTGCTTAGGTGGAGGTGGAGTGGCGTCGGCTGAGTCTCTGTGGTCTTAGCTACTAGCTTCGTCCCAGCATGTTGTTTTTGCAGATGTTTTAAGAGATTTGAATTACTGGTTTGGGCAGTAGATAGGATCTTTGACCCGCCAGGACACAACTTACATTTAACTAAAACGTTCTTTTCTTTGTGCTCGACAAAAGTGAAATAGTGAGAATATCTCCAGGTGGAGAAACTAGACTTGAGCTCCGCCGCTGCCATGATAGTCTTGTTAGTCAACAACACAAACACGCCCACAGCCCGTCTCCGCAACTCCGAACTGTACTTAAGTACAGTTCTCATCTCTGTTCGCCTGGCTGTTGACTATATAAAAAAAACTAACGCAGTAACGGAGTAACGCACCATGTAGTAACGGTAACGGAGTTACTGAATTTAAAAAGTAGTGCGTTAGAGTACTAGTTAGTCCCAACACTGGCTATGTAGAGTCATACAATAACAATGTGTTATGATCGCGGAAAAGGTAGGACCCAAAAGCAGACTACAAAAAGAGGTAAAAGGTCTAGAAAACAAAAGCGAGCTTTATTTTAAAAGCTGATGGCAAATAACATGGCATAAAACACAACGTTAGTACAAGGAAGATACATTACCAAAAACCTGACCGTGACTGACATGGAGGGAGACAGGAAAGACAAACAATGAACCCACGGGGGAACACAGGGAAATACAAGACTAAATACAGAGAGGGGTAATCACGGGACGAGAAACAGCTGGGTAAGGGAGGCAGAAACACAAGGGCGACAGGTGAACACAATGAGACATTCAGACACAGGAGGAAAACAAGAGACAGGGAGAACAGAACAGCAAAATAAACCCAAAACTGAACACACAAAACTCAAATCATGACACAATGTGAACACAAATATTATGTTTCTATTAATATTTCATTTGTAAAACATATTGGACAGTCTTTTTATCGGGCTGGACCCGTCCAATTCCAGTTTTGTAAAGTCTGCCATTGTTCCATTCCATTTCATATAGCTGTTTGACGCTCAGCGTAACCTTGTCGCACTGTCACTCCAAGATCCAATCACAGGGCTTGATGACTAATCACGGGGTTTGTAAAGCAAGGCGGATGTTATAGTCCCAAACGATAGCTGGGGATTCTGGGTAGTGTAGTGTCTTCGGACACTGTAGTGTCTTAACTCCGAAAAAACTATTTGTTTCTCTGAATCGAAGGTTAAAAACACAAAAGCATTGTACACAATTTAAACCAATCAATATTGTGTAATTAACAAGGATAAACTGATGTTTCTTAGTGGATGAGTAATGCAGATATCACTGTGTAATCATTTGACAGTGAGGGGAATATATCCGGTTTTATTATGAAAACTTCGAGACCGGAAAAACTGTTTTCACCCACGCTAACTTTACATGGAAGCTGCATACACGTTATCCTGGCGAGACCTCAAATCATCTTCGTAATATCTATCAAACTATAGATCCTACACATCCACTGGACGTGGATTCTAAGAGTACAATATACACTTCTCGCCAGAAATCGAATCAAAAAGCATTTTAATGGCCAAACTATTCCAAAATGTAGGATTTTCCAGAGAGGGTTATTTGTGAATAAACGTCCCTCCGGAGCGTGTGCAATGAACGGGCCGGGAGCATGTTGTTTCTTACACGACCACTAGAGGTGCTCTAGTGGTCGTGTAAGAAACAACATACACTTTAAAACTAGGGATGTCCCGATCACCTTTTTTTTTCTCCCGATCCGATTCCGATCATTTGATTTTGACAATCTGCCGATACCGATTTTTCCCGATCCGATCTTTATACAATGCATTAAGAGAAAAAAAGATAACAGATAACGGCTGGTCATCTAACGCGATGAATTCAGCTATCTTGGCTGTTATTTTTGTTGGCCTTTTCACTGTTCTGGGGCCGTTTCTCTTTCCTTTTAAAAGTCTCTGAAAGTGTCGGTTGTTTCAGTGCCGTTACCTGAGTGGCCGCTGTGTACTCGTCGTGTTGTTGGTGTTTGCTTCTCAGGTGGCGTATTAGATTGGTCGTGTTGAACGTAGCTCTGTTCTTTCCACCACGCGGAACCTCCGCCTTGCAAACATTGCATCTGGCTGTTACACTGCCTTCGCTTTCAATTTTATAATACTTCCAAACTCCTGACATTTTCTCTGTCCCGACTCCCGAGTCACCAGCTGAACGTAGCCTCTCGTTAGCTTACTGCTACTATTAGACACTGCGCCCACTCTGTTGCCAGATTTGAGAGAAATAAGCAACCAGGTCTATGAAAACAAGCCCAAAAGAAGCAACACATACATGATGTTGTGTAATTTTAAACCAAAACTAAGGCCTCAGGATGACTTTAAGACGTGAACATGGTCATTTTTGTTTTGTAACATTACATAAAATAATAAAAATATTTTATAAAAAAAATCCCGATCCCCGATTTTTTTCTCCCGATTCCGATCTTTTGCAAATCACGTGATCGGCTCCGATCCCCGACCACGGATCAGGACATCTCTATTTAAAACGTGTCTCTGGGTCGTAATAAGGGCATGAACAATTTGCCTATATCAGGGGTGGCCAACCAATCAGAGGTAAAGAGCCAATAATTGTCCTGTGTTACTGCAAAGAGCCACATCATACAGTACACACAGGCACACATGTCCCCCGACCTCTCTCTCCTTCTCTCTTTTGCTCTCAGCCTTTCTGTGTGCTCCCTCACTCTCTTCCTCTATGTGCCCCTCTCTATCTCTCACACATACAAAATGAAAATCTAAAAATGAACAATAATTGACACACACACACACTCACATACAGAAACACATACCTCCGCTCAGCCAGATTTCCTATAAATGTCACAGTCCATGATATTGACAGAAATTGACTTAAACCTCTCCTACCAGTATTAAGACCAGAGGCCAGTTATAGTCAACCATTAATATTGTGTCTCACACAAACTCTCAGTTAAAAACATTTGAAAAAAGTAGTTATCTTACTATGCATGTTGCTTCTTGAAATTTGCAGAGGATGTGAAGGGGCTCAAATGCATGAAAGGGCACATTTGCGATCTTTGCGATTTTTTTCTCCATGTCTGTATCTCACACACAGATTCATGACAGTTATTTAAAAATAAATGAAAATAAATAAAGTGTATTTTTGTTAATTCTCCTCACATGACATCTCAACTTTTACCTTACCCTCTGACTGACAGAAGCTCTGCTAACAGAGATGCACTTTCTCTCTTGTTTATTTCTTTACCGCGAATCACCAAATTCGGGAGCCCTTCTGTGCCAGTAGCCAGCTTTCCGGGAGCAGGCCTTCTCACATACACATATACATCTGCAAATTGTTACCGTTTTGATTTGACAACATTATATTGAGTTATTACGGTTTTATCTGAGTTATATTTCTGCCAATCGGAAGCCGATCTCTCCCTTCACTGTCACATCGCGAGTGCAGTAAAGCCCGCCTCCAGTACTGCAGGATCTGCATTTTGATTGGCTAAAGCACTTCTTTGTTGAAAACTCTGTGTAACGATTGGGCTGGAACTTGTGTGTTGTTAACCCTTTGTGGACTGGGATACATATGCGCAAAAAAAAAAAAAAAAATTCAAATTCGATATGAACTGAGGAGCCGCATGAGACTGGGCAAAGAGCCGCATGCGGCTCGAGAGCCGCGCGTTGGCCACTCCTGGCCTATATGGTCGTTTTTTGTAGGAGGACAGGCTGGTT